GCCTCTCAATGATATTTCCCTAGATTTTTCATTTACCCATCGACTACTACCACTGCATGTGCAATATTTGTTCTTATACATGTCATCGCATACATTAAACTTCTAACAACTAAGCATACAAGATACTTTTCATTTGTGCTTGCTCTGCTTTAGACATGGGCAATTGTTCCTTAGCCTAAAGTGGCTGGTTAAGGGGGTGAAACTTGTTTTACCTCACTCATGTTGAACTTGTGTAGATTGTTCTCTACATATTCTGTCTGAGATAAATTTAATACACCTGCAATCTTATCCCTAGTGATTCTCATTTCGAGGATTTTCTTGTTTGAACTTAGATCCTTTATTTCAAACGCCCTTGATAATTGATCCTTCAAGTTTATGATCTTCTACATATATGCTCTTGCAAATAACATGTCATCCATATATAAAAGAAGCACAATATATCAATTATTAAAATGTTTAATGAAATAAAAATGATTTGTATGACACTTCGTGTACTCACTACTTGGCATGAACCTATCAAATCTCATGTATCATTGTCTTTGGATCTGCTTCAAATCATAAAACTCTTCTTTAGTTTGCAACATATCTTCTTTTCTTGTAACTTCATGTCCCTGTGGTCGCACCATGTACAGTTCTTCTTCTATTTCACCTTGTAAGAATATTGTCTTCATATCCATTTGTTCCAATGTTGGTCTTCAACTACTACTAAGTTTAACACAACTCAACTCTGGTAGTTGTCTTCTTCACTACAAAAAAAAACTTTAATAGTCAAGTTCTTTCTTTTGTAGAAATCAATTCACAATAAGTTGTCTTATACAAGTTTCTACCATCTTATTCGTCTTTCAACCTAGACTCACTTATTGTGCAATATCTTTCTTTCATCTGTCAATTCTACCAATTCTAAGATCTAATTTGACATTAATGACTGCATCTCATCATTCATGGCAAACTCCTAATCATTTGAGCCATCAACTTGAGTGGCCTTATCATAGCATTTTGGTTCACTACTATAAAGCAACAATAATTAGTACAAAGATAGCAGTTGTTTGAGGAACTTCATGTGCTTCATCAGATTGAACACCATTCCTTTCTCAATCTTCCTGATCACCTATACCTTCTATCTCTCCATATTTGGAGGGGTCTTCAGAATTAATTTTTGGATAATCCGTGTTTTTTCTGTCCTTGTACATCTTCATTTCATCGAAATTGACATCCCTGCTACTAATAAATTTTGTATTTTGATAGTCTCAAAATTTGTATTCAAATTCATTTGTGTCGTACTCAATTAAAGTGCGTTTGATAAATTTTGAATCAAGTTTACTCATGGATCATGCATCAACATGAACATATGATGAAAAATCAAATAATTTCAGGTGATATATTTACCTCTTTGTCACTCCATGCTTCTTGTATTGAAGTGACAATTTATCAAATAAGTTGCAATGTTCACTGTTTTTGCCCAGAACTGCTTTGACAAGCCTGCATACAATCTCATACTCCTAACACTCTCCGTGATAATTCTATTCATGCTCTCAACAATGCTATTTTATTGTTGTGTCCTTGGAATAGTAAACTCATGTCTGATTCTTTTTGAAGCACAATAACTTTTGAATCTCTGATCATGTCAGACACTTCAACATTACGATTGTCTCATTCTCATGCATGGCTTTTTGCTTCTTAAATATATCAAACACATCAGATTTATGTTTTGAGAAATATGATCATTACTTCTTGGTGTGATCATCAATGAAAGTCACAAAATATTGAGAATATCCAATGGGCTAAACTGAAGTAATAACCCATACATTGCTATGCACTAACTCTGGTTTTTTGGACTTCAATTTCTACACACTTTTATAAAATGTAAACTTCTTTTGCTTTTCATAAACATAATTTTTACAAAAATCTAAGTCTATAAACTTTATAACCTGAAGTTTGTTTTTAGAAAGGACTTCATATATTTTTCGCTCATATGACCAAGCCTACTGTGTCAGAGACTTGTATGTTACTTCAATGGATTTAGGCATCTCATTGATCACATAGAGGATACCTTCAATGTTACCTCGAGCTATCATCATTGCCTATTTGGTTACCTTCCACGAATCACTTGTAAAGGCGGTACCTTCATGACAATTAGACCTTGCAAGCTAACTCATAGAAATTAGTTTTTTTTTCAAATATAGAACATGTCTTAACTTCATTCAATTTTCAGACTGATCCATTTGACAACCTGATATCAACTTTGCCCTTCTTAAAAATATTGCATGTCTTGTAATCTATTAAATACATCTCCCCTAGATCACCTTAAATGTATTTTTTCAACTTCTAATAGTTATCATACTTGCAGACCAATTGTTGCTCTTGATCTATCGATCTTTCATCTGATTTGGTTCCTCTATCTTTTACTCCTATATGATCAAATATGTCAAACAAAGTACCGAACTCCACTCGTTTAGGACTAGACCTATTTAAAAAAGAACAAATAAATGCCACAATAAAAATGTTTAGCAAGGCACAAATCTTTTTCCTAGTCACCACCATGATTAGTATATGTTTTTCACTTATCAGACCAAACATGTAATCTTATAAATAGTTTTAGCATAAGATGGTTTAACCAACGGATGTGGATTGTAGATTTTGTTGCCTGAGTGAATATGATGGGTGATACCTCAATTTTAGAAAATAAGAAATCATGCAGTAAAGGACAAATTATTAGAATTACTGATGGTTCATTATCCAAAATTGCTAGAATTGGGCATGTTTGTTTTTCAAACAAATTAACTGTCAAATCAATGTTATTCATGTTGGAACTTGATTATAATCTATAGTTTTAAGGAAGATCTACATCATACCCCTTAATTGTTATGTATTTACATATCTAACATTTAAACTTCAATTTTTGCATATATGCCACTCTACCTATGCATGGAAAAGTATATCTCACTTTTTAAAAAATAAGTGGTAGTTTTGATGTGCTATGGTAGATTTGGGTGGTATAAATGTTAAAAGTGAAGTTTTGATGTTAGATTTATAAAAACATAGGAATCGGGTGGTATGTTTGTGTTGAATCTAAATTTGTTCTTTAGATCATGCCCAAGGAATAGAGTCGGATTCCATGGGAAGGAGGAAGAGGGAGAGAAAGAGAGAGAGACTGTCTCATTGGGGTTGGGGTTGGGGTTGGGGT